CATTTATTTTGTTCATTTTACCAACTATTGCTTGTAAACAACTTGTTCAAAAAGAGTTCCTCTATGAGTTGCTTGTTCAACGAATTAAACACATGTTTACATATTATATACTGGTATATATATTTAACTTTACCACAAATGAACTCTTACATTTGTTATCTCCAAGTACACAAATTTGTAAGAACTATTGTAACATATCCGAAAAAAATGCTAAAAGAAAAAAACAAATATAAGTTATTCACATAAAATGTCGGTCAGAGTCTATTACTTACTTCAATGTATGATTTGTTTCCTTCCTTTCTTCCTTCCGTGCTTCCTTCCTGTTTTATTTCCCGAGTATCTACATCACTTGCTTATTACATTTCATTACTTACAAGACGTGAAACTTACACACTTTGCATATGATAAAGATACTTTAATGCCATACACTTTTGCAGTTTTTTTTAGTTTTTTATGATATTTTGTTGTATATAAAACAGTATACATTTGTATTTTTTTTACTTAGTCATAATATAATTGTTTTTCTAATATTTAGGTATTTTAGTTAAGTTTTCGACTATAAAGTTCACCACATATTTTATTAGAATTAATAGCTTTGTGTGCATAAATTTTCCATCCAAGAATTTTTGTGTTCCATCATCAGATCGAAACGCTAAAAGCAACTAGAATTTCTTAGAAATATTTGCAAATATATTATATGTACTCTGTCAATACAGACTAAAACATTGAATTAACAAATGAATTTTTATTGTTTCGCGTTGCTGAGCTCTAGTACATCACATACTTTTAGGCTTGTCCATTTTACTATAAGTTAATTTTTCTGCGCCGCAAACTTGATTATTAATATATAAACAATCATTTTTTTCGTGTTGTGTGTGTGTGTACTTTATAACCACAAAGCAATAACGCAAATATTCTGCAATGCCACAAAATATAACTACGAGGACTCAACAATCCTCGTTTTTTTTCCCAATCCTGTTGTGGTCCGTTGTGTAATTTTGAATTATGCGCCGCGAAATATGCAAACAAATATTGTGTGGTGTGTCGCATTTTTAATTGCTATTTTATGACCTCAAACAACGATAGTGCAGTGCAACAAGCAAATGACGCCAACAATAATGTCGACGATGGACGATGCCGACGACGACGACATCGCCATTATCGTTCCTATTTCGTCCATTGGTGCCCGCCGTATGCTTGTTAAGTTCATTTATTTTTGCATATCAAAATTTGTTTAAATTGTTTCTGCAATGAAATTTTATTGAAAACATTAAGTAAATGCAGTGCAGTAAATATTTTATTTGTTAATAGTTCACCACATGCAATTACAGCACATACACATGTACACAAGAATTATTACACAGCCTTTAAATTGATTGCACTTCAACTTTTTAACGTTTTAATTTTATTTAAATATGTTTTTTTTCTTTTTTTTTTAATTTATTATTTTTTTTTACAGTTGCATTTAATATACTATATACACAGATATACATATTTGCATACAAGTATGTTTATATATTAATTACTTTTATTGTTACTAAGAACAATTGTTTCTGGTTTCATATTGTATTGTGATGACATATTGTATAATTTATATAATTTAAAACTATCAACAAAAATGTTAAATGAATTACAGTTAAATTAAAAAGATGATAAAAATTAAAAACACATTTTCATTAAATTTTTTTAATTCTGTATTTAAAGCACTGTTATTGAAATTTATGTAATTTATTAAGACAGAACGCTATATAAAAAACAAAAGTATATAAATTTCTAATATAATGATATATAATATAATATAATGATTATTCATAAATGTGGGATCAGTTCAAAAAAATCCTTTATTGGAGTGAATGAAGAGCATATACTCTTTCACTTCTTATATTAAGTAATTATTTCCAGTTTTAATATCAAATTTGTCGTAAAAAACTTCTACAGATAAGAATAGATCTATCCTGATGAATTTACGGGATGTAAGTTACTTCGTTCTTAACGATAAGAAGTCCAACAAATTGTCAAAAATGTGCTTATCTAAAAACATGTTTCTTTCATTAGCAAAAGCTGAGCAATCACCAAAAACAAAAAATGAATAATTTTTTCTTTTTTTTAAGTGAAGAAATACATAGTATTACTGCGATGGTTTCTATGTCTCAGGAGCCTGAAAGAACTTCATTTAATCTCACAGAATTGACACTACTACCCCTATTAATAAGTATCCAAAATCTGTTTATACCTGATTATGCACAGGTTCAACACATTATTCGCTGGCTGAAGAAAATAGAATAAGGAGTCCGTCTTCACAGTCTCTGGAAAAATGCAAACCAGCACCACTAGAGAGACATCCATAGAATCATCAAAGCAGGTTAAATTGTCAGTTTTTTCTTGTCCTTTAATATTCCTAAAAGTCAATTAAACCAGCCAATTTCGATCCTATATTCATTCTTTCACTAGTTTTCATTTAATAGTGATAGTAAAGAGCTCTAGTCGCCGCTTGGCTAACGTCTTCGTGTGTTAATAACTCAATTACAGTAATTTGTGTGAATGAGTATGATACTATGTGTAAGTGTTAGCGAAGTGTCAGACTCTTGTGACGCCTTAGGTTGGGCTTTGCTTTTTTGTTTTATTTTTTCCTTTTTTTTTTTCGCAATTTTGTACGTTTGTTAAAGTCCGAAATAAAAGCACCATCCCAATATTATTTGAAATATCACTGGTAGTGAGTGAGTATCACTGGCAGCACTGAGCGGTAGATTTCAATATGGTATCACAGGGGTCTAAGCAGTTAGCTTCGGCTAAACTAACACATAGCGGCGTTGGTTCGTTAAAGGAAGAATTGTACTGGATGTGATTAAAACGCAAACAATTAGGGGTTGGAATCACTATATTCATTTACTTCATTGGATGTCGAGTTGCATTAGGCAATCGGGTGTTGTAATCAAAAGATCAGCAAAGGTGTTAAATTGGTTTTGATCCCCAATGTGGAGGAAGCTATATCCAATTAGTACTTATGGAACTCCTTGGAAGGCGTTTATTGGTGTATTGTAATGCCAAGTGTGTTAAAAACGTCAAGATATTAAACAGTCATGGCAGGTAAACACGTCCAATTATTTTGGACTTTTATCCCTTGGCGGTCTTACTTGGAATAACTACAATTTTCAATTCCAAGGCATCAACATTCATCAGATATATCTACTCCAGATTTTACTGCATGACTAACTTAATACCATTCCGACTGTTAATTGATAAGTTTGCATTAGCTCTTGTTAATTAAAATAATTTAATTCAAAATTATAAATAATATAGAGTTCCATACATTAATTAAATATTGGCACAAAAAAGTATATACCATTAAAGCAAATGTATGCCGCAGGATACAGAATTTTAACGCTATATGGTAACAGTATGGCCTAACAAGACTAACCGCGGCTCGTGACCAGCAAGATTAACCTACCCCAACCTTGCACAAAAAAAAAATCGGTCGCCATATATTGACATCGCCAAAATTAATCTGTTATTCCGGAAGTCGATAACATTATAAAGATATCGAAACATGTTGATTTTATACTGTCTCGTTGATATACCTACGAGTTTATTATCAGATCACTTTAAGGCAGTATTAGGTTTTTCATATAAAGGCATTACTTTTTCAGTGAGTCTATTGGCTCTGATAGCTCTTCAGCTTTCGTATCATTATAAAAGTTTGCTTTAAGTCAATCTCTACTTTTGATTTTAAGTTATTTTAAGTTTGCATTATTGATTAAGTAAGAGCTCAGCTTATAAAAATTGCGAATATTTAAATTGACTGTTGACTTTTATCTGATAAATCAAGTATTACAACCTTTTCTAGAAATAACATTAGTTTTCTGTTCATTCAACTAAGAGAGCTTTTTCTAGTTTTAAAATTTATAAGCAAATTCCCAGCTTATTAAAATGTAAATTAGCATTACTTATACAAGCTGTAAGCGCTAGATTTATACTTACAGTAATTACCCGTTTTTGCATATTAATTGCCTTTCGACGTTTTACAACGAAATGTGATGCATCACAGTAGTGCAGTGAAAAAAAAACTAAATAAATAAAATAAAATTAGATTGTTTATCAAGATACATTTTTATTTGTTGTTTTTATTTGCTCATATATGTGTGCACTAAAAAATAATATTAAAATGAATTACTTTTGTTAATGTTTATATATACTTAGCTACTTTTTTAGATACTACTATTTGCCCACTGTAAGAGCACATTTCTTCAGCAGCACGCGATCATTATAATTTATTTTGCACGTTGACTTTGATACAAAATATGATGAGGTATGAGGTGTGAGTTATGGGCCATGGGCTGTAAGCTCTATGGTTTTGTGCTGGTACTGTGCCGTTCGCTCTGCGCACACTTAAAGAATCTTTTTAATGTTTTCAGTGGTTTTATTGGCATTATTATTTTGTTTTATTAAGACCGGAGACAGTCTCATGCTGTCGACACTTCTAGGCAGCCACTTTTGGATTGATATTGGCGGAGGCGTTTGTTTGCTCGTCTCCCTTGATTAAACACACAGTTATAGATATAACGAAAAAAAAAAAAAAGAACAACAATACGAATAACTACCACAGCGCAAATATTATACAAATAATATAAAAAAATCATACTATAGACAATAGAATGCTGTTGTAAATACTAAAACCACATCTGAATATATACTAGATACATATAAGATACACATAAGTGTATTTTGTATTATTACTCTTATTAGTTTTATTAGTTTTTTTTTCTTGTTTTATTTTTGTTTTTTATTTACTGTTTTTGCAATTAAGATTTTTTTACATGTTTGATTTTGTGTATCGAATGTGAAAACATCATTAATTGTTTGCAGTTATCCAAATGGTTCAGTTCAGTTCGGTTTTTATCACTTGTTATCGTTTATTGTAAAATTAATAAAAATAAAAATGTCTCTTTATTATTTTATAAAAATTAATATAAATTTATTTAAATTATTTTTTCTAATTTCAGGCGCAAATGGTTACCTCAACCACTACGTAAATTATCACAGAGTAAGGTGGAAAAACCGTCAACTGAAAAATCACTCATCAAGAAGACTTCAGAGAAGAGTCTAAGAGTAAGTTTAAAAATATATGTATATAAATAAAAATTTTACATAATACATTTATTTATACATATATAATTATTTTTATAAATAATTTCCTTTAGTTGCCTCAAAAGCATGCTGAACACGAAGATGAAACCACAAGCAGTGGTCTTCACACCACCACAACCACTTATGGCGTTACATCACAACATGCAACTTCATCATCACACCACAATACGTCACAGCAAGATTTCGAGGCAGAAGAGGAAGCCGGTTTAGAATTGCCACCACCCATGAAACCAATACAAGAGCCACACTTAATCGCCAATGGACCACCTGCATTTGCAAAGGATTTAAAAGAAATACCGGTGAGTGAAGTAAATTTATGCATAGGTGTTTGGCAAAGTCGCTATTGAAAATTAATGAAACAAGAAAAATAGTTATCAGAAAGAAAATTTAAATTTATTTAATGTGAATCTATGTAATGCAATGAATAACTATGATATTAGCAGTTATATATATATATATAAAAGGTGATTATAAGTGAAGTATTAAGTGAAGTGAAGTATAATTAAATAAGTTTGTTTTAATCGAGCTAGACTCCATTATATATTAATATATAGTGTACAGACTAAAACACTTCCGCTACGGAGAGGCTCATTTCTGACGGAAACGCTTTTGCATTACTTTGAAGAATAATTTAAAAATTAGATGTATATCAAATTATAATTACAAGCTCGGATGCGCCCATTTGACAATAGATTTCAATAAAGATATTTGGCGCGTTGATTTGTAACTCGTCTTTTGTATACTTAATTTAAAAGTAGTCTGTATTAGGGCAAACTACATTTTTGTTAGTGTAATCAATATAAAAAGTTTACAACTTTGAATATCAATATCTCAAGAACTAAGTTATATCCGCATATAGCGTAGTTTTCTTGAAACAGCCGACTCTAGTCAAATACATTCTCAAATCGAAGTCCCCGGGAAATCGGAATTATACTACATTGAAATACTATCAAGTAGATTTTCTAAATAATATTTTAATTAAACCAATAAGTTAACAAATCATAACTATATAAATAAATTAATTGACCTACAATATATAACATATATTTTATATTTGTCTTATAATATATAATTTATAAATATTATGACAAATTAAAAACTAAAACAGCTTGATATATTTTTAGACTTTTTAAAACTTTATGAATGCAGTAAACGCTTTGATGAATGCAATAATACCTAAAGACTTTAAGTAGAGATGGTCAGTGTTAATGTAAAAGAAAAAGTGACGAAGCTATGTTATATAAAATTAACCTATACGAACTATATATATAAGGTCGAAACTATATAGAATGAAAAGCAAACACATTTATCTTCGCATAACAATATTATTTTCTAGATGGATATATCTAATTTTTTATTTTTCATGTTTTAAGTAACACACTTATTGTCCCTAACTATAAACTAGTGAATAAAAATAAGTGAATAAATTTTTTTTGTTAAATAGATTATTTAAATATGACGGATAATATTTTTTTTTCGTATAAAATTATACCTTACATAATCTTTACTGACCGTATCAATTCGTTATTGGATTTCGGTTAGACTTAAATGTCACTTTGTCTTCTCTAATTTCCTACGTTAAATACGAGATTAATGCTCCCTTAACTTTAATGCTCCATTAAAACTACGACCTTCTCATTTCGTCTTCTTACTGTAACAGCAATTACAAACATCGTTTCCGGTAAATCCATCTTCATAACTTCATAATAATTAAAATGTTGGAGTAAATCTTAGGTAGTTCTTGGTTTATTCGAATCGGAACCCGTCACTAACTTGTAGATAACAAAAGATCTTACCGTTTTTTTACTCAACCAATTGACACAGTTTGTCATTGTTCTATGCTATAATATCATTTCGAAGCATAGTTTGATGACTAATCTATAGAATTTAAATTTTTTTCCTTTAAAAAAGTTTTATGTCACTGCTACCTACTTAGGCCAGACTAGTAAATGCTGGTAGTATCCTTTATCCTTTACGGAAACTGCAAGATAACAACGAGTTAATAATTTTAACGTTCCTTAAAAAATAATAAAATTATAAATAGCTTCAAAGGAATAGCAGCTAACAACCAGCTGGCTATACAACAAACAGTAATTAACCTAACAGTTAATCTGTATTATACATCTATCATCATATATAATATTATAGTTCTTAGTGGATACTGTTCGATTAAAAGAAAAACAATGTAATTTTTATAAGTAATAACACAAAAGACATTTTCAATGTCAAAACTGCAATATTGAAAATTCCCCACTTTCTCTGCAAAATAAAATGAAAAGATCTATATATTGTATAAATATATTTATAAATAGAATTTACAACTAATTTAAAAATTTTATGAATGAAATATTTATACTGATAATATTAGACTTTTATTTTCTGACACTGAAAAATTGCGTGAACTGTGTGAATTAATTTTATTTTCTCAAAAAATGGAAAAATATTCCCGACACATTCACTCAAGGAAGGTAAAATCCCCTTATATTAATTTACTGCAACATTTTTGTGTACTATAAAAAAGAAGAGTAATTCTGACATCATTAAAATTGTACCACAAAGCCAATTGGTACAATTCCAATGAATTGTTGCTTTAGATAATGCAAAAATGTATACAAGTAGAAAATTTCTTCTCGATTAATCACGACCGAGAAATTTCAATTTCCGCAATACTTCACCTCACTTTTTCTCAATGACGTACACAAGTTGAATAATAAGACTAGCGATAAGTATCTCAAGCGATACACAAGCCAACAAATCAAGAAGTAACAGATGCAATAAGTATCAAGCAATCAACCACTCAATGGGTATAACGAACGGAGGAGAATCCGTAGTGCAAGGCTATAATTTTGCACTTGATTATTGTATACTAACCACAATATAATCTTTAAGTTTTCAAGTTTATTTCACCACTTAAACAAAAAATAGTTTTTTTTTTCAATCTCACCACAGAATCTCGCGACAAATGGTCAATTAAAAATAATACAAATAGGAAAAAAACAGAATCACACTAAATAGATTAAGAAATCCTCGCCTCCTCCGTGCTCTGTTTTATTTATAATTTTAATATTGTGGCTTTTATTTCGATAGCTGCGAGTATTTGTTAGTAATTTTAAGAAAATATAATTGATAATCAAATTTAATTTATTTATTGCTTCTGTTTTACTATTGTTAAGACGATTGTCAAGAAAACTTACAATGTTCGTTTGAAGTCTAAATGTGGGTGTAATTTGGAGAATTAAATTCCTGTGCTCTTATGAATCAAATTATTTACTATTAAAAAAAGTTGATACATAATAATTGATAATAGAACTTTTTAAATTTAGAAATAGGTAAACCAGAAAGAGATAGAATGGGCATATGATCAGAAAGTTATGCTCTACTGTATGTAAGTACTGTACTGTATGCTTGACTTGCTAGAAATATTGATGCCAATATTTCTTAAAAGTATCTGTAATACTTATCAGCTTCTTAACTTATTAAAAAAGATTTCTTTCTTTTCTTTAAAGTCTTTAATTAACATTATTTACAATTAAATAAATTTGATGCATAATTGATTACAGTATTTTTTAAATTTAGAAATATGTAGACCAGAAAGAGATAGAATTAGTACATGAGCAGATATATATGCTCTACTCTAAGACTTTGTAGAAGTATTTGTGCGAAAGTTAAGGCTCTTAGTGACAATTAAGTTAACAATAACTTTACTTTTTAATTAAATAGTATCATTATCTCTAATTTGAGTTCGGTTATTGTTAGACAAGTTTAGATCCTACAGACCCATTGTGATACTACTACTTTATTATCTACAATTTAAGCAAGGTTATTGTGGTAGTTGAACATTTAACCAACTGACTTGCACCCCAGGGATCCATGATAATACTATGTACTACCTATTATGGAAACTTAAGTGCTTGTTATTTATGGAGCTATTTCAATATACTCCTAAAGCGCACAATATTTATCATTTTAATGCTAGAAAGACGTATTTGTCTAAGAAATTTGGTCTGCTTCTGACTAGATCTACGCAGCTATAGAAAAAGTGTTTAAACAACATCTAATATTCATGCACCATTTTTTTTCTCCCAATCTTCTAAACAGTGGACCTATTTCAGGTATTCTTTTATATTTCTATCAACAATGATTTAGTGAGTTAAAAGCATTAAGTTAAGATACTTAAAGTCAAAAGTTACGGGTGTTCTATACACTACTTCAACGAAAGTATTATTTATTCTACTTCCTTAGCTGTTAACTGGATTTTGTATCTAACAATAGATGACGTATATAACATTCGGGTTTAAGTGATAAAAGAGGGTATTTTGAAAAAGGATTTGAATCTGAATATATTGAAAGTTGGTGTCGCGTTAACTCACATGAGAACTATTACACTATTACCTAATATATTCAAAAAATGAGCTTAAATTTTTTTTTATTTTTCATTGATCTATTACACATCCGTCTTATACTTGTTGACTTGTTGGTGATTTATTTTTAATATTTTTCTTGTTTTTTTTTTCATAAAAAGATGGAATATTTTGTTTACTTGATATGTGCTGTAAAATTGTTGAACATGTGCTTCTTCCTATTGCATTTCCTCATCATAAAATATATAATGCTTTTAATTACTTATAAATATTATAGCTTTTTAATTGGACAATTTCATTTTATCGTATTGGTTGTGTGACTTGACGAAAATTGAAGGCCAAAAACTCTTTGATAAACAGTAACACTACAGAGAGAAAATGCGGACGTCCTTGCGTTCAATAATCAAACTTTTCTGAATGGCGTCGATAATTCGCAGTGAATTCGTCATCAGTATGCGTGGTTTCCGCTTAGGCGACTTGTCAATATTCTCTAGGTCTTTGTGGAACTGTTTTTTTATTTTTTTATTTATTATAACACTAGTTTCAGTTGAAGGCGTTAAAAGTCATGGAAATATTTAACTACGCAACATAAAAATTTTGTTTACAATAACCTTTACATTTTCGCACTGTTCGAATGCGTAAATGACTCAGTTTCTGAGGTGATAGCACCCCAGTTCCAACTATTTACCAACAATACCTATACCCACAATATACATGTATGAACTAATTAAATGCTTTTGTTTTCTGTAGATTTTCCCCTATTTTATGTTTTCCATTTAATGTGGTTGGCGGTGCATCTATTGAAAATTAAACGACTTGACCCTCATATTAATGAAGGTTGATATTTAACGTTCGCTATTCATGGCACTCCCTTCATTTAATTTTTAATTAGAATAGCATTATCAAGAGTAGCAAGCTTTGTTTCACCTTACGACAGT